TGGAAATGGAACCTAAATTGGAGAAGGAACTTATATGAGTGGGAAGCCGACGATGCCGTGGAACTCCAAAAGAGGATAGAAAATGTGAAGATAGCAGAAGGAGTCATAGACAAATGGGAATGGATTCATGACAAGGGAGGTCAATATTCAACCAAATCTGCGTATTCTATTCTAACAAAGGAGCGAGTGGAATCAATTAAAGAGAAGACATTCAAAAGAATATGGAATCCCATCCTTCCAAGCAAAATCTCAACTTTCATTTGGCAGCTAGTTCTGGACAAAATTCCAACGAAAGTCAATTTGCTAAGAAGAGGGGTCATTAAGGACACAAATGAAACTAAGTGTGCCCTTTGTAATGAAGAAGAAGAGGTTACTACTCATATGTTCTTAAACTGCAAAATTGCAAGGTGGGTATGGAAAGCTTGCTCGAAGTGGTGGGGATCGAAGATGTCGGTGCACAGAGACTGCTGGAACACTTTTCAATCCATCGAGAGGTATACCAAAGGAACAAAAATCAAAGAAGGCTTGGATAGCAACTGGAAAACAGCCGTTTGGTCTATTTGGATTGCTAGAAACCAGAAAATCTTCCACAACAAAAAGGTAAATCCCGTTACTCTCTTAGAACTAATACAAATGAGATCTTTCTGGTGGATTAAAGCAAAAAAATATTGGGCTACTGTTTCTTTATCCGATTGGTTAATTGACCCAGCAGCATGTTTCAAAACCTGATGGTGCGTGTGAAAGGTTACATTATTAGGGGGTCATTATTTTGATTTTGGTATGAAGAGTAGGAGTTGGTGATTGTTAAGGGTTTGAGTACCCCTTGTACTCATTATTCTCAATAAAATTAATTGCTGTTCAAAAAAAAAAGTAATTGTTCTTACTGGGCCATCAAGTCATCCCATTCCTGCCAGCATTTTACATCTACAGGTACAAATTCTTGGCTATAAAATGTGTTATCATAGCTAATATATACATATAGCTATCATGGTTATATTTCATAGCTAACTATATTTTCTTTAGCAATGTGTCTAAAACTTCCAAATTTAATAGTTAGTTGTTGCCATGATAAAATACTTCTATGGAAAAATATGTCTTTTAACTACAAATCAATAGCTATGACTATTATATCATAGCTACTTTAATTGTTTAGCTATAAATATCAGAAGTCCATAGCAATAGTAAATTGATCCTAGTCATAAAACTATTTTATTGTAGCTAATTTAGTTGTTTGGCCAAATGTACTAGAATTTTGTGGCAATAATAAATTGATTATAACCATAAAACTATTATATTGTAACTAATTCAATTGTTTAGCAATATATATTTGAAGTCTGTAGCTATCATAAATTTATCATAGCTATAAAATTATTATATTGTACCTAATTTAGTTGTTTAGCCATAAATTTTAGGTTCTATAATTAATTTCACAAGATAGGTGCAAACCAATATGGAATGGAATTGAAGTTTGGTGAACAATATATTGAAGCTAACAAATCAAGGCAAGAAGCACACTATTTTGTTAGTTAGTAGGGAAAAGTAGAAAAGAAGGAATCAATTGTTTGATCGAAAAGAAAAAGTCTAGTTTCTATATGCATTCATGGAAGTATATACAATTTATTGTATAAAATACATATACTTTATAAATATACCTAAGAATGTCACATAATATTCACTTTATCCCTTTTCTTCTTATAAATTTAGACATACCTTATGTCTGTATGGTCACATTTAGACCATAACTTGAATAAATTGTAGTATTTAATTTATAGCTTAATTGATAATATCAATAAAGCCATAGTAAATAAAACACAATAAGTGCAAGACAAAACAAGTCATATTTTAAAATCCAATTGCACAAGTAAATTGGTAACAATTTGGACATGGATTCTTGCCAATATGACTACCTAAAAAATAGAAATAGAAGTTGAGTCTTAAAATTTCCCTACTTAAGAAAAATCAAAAGGTGAAAGAAACTTGCAAATACTATTAAATAAAACTTACAAATAAGTAGCACCTACTACATCCAATTGGTTAAAAGTCTATAACAGTAAGTTTTAGTCTATGTCTATGTCACTGTCATCATCATCAGATTCAATTTTTGACTTAACATTATCATCATCACTTAGAGTAGAACCATTGATAATGGGACTTATATAAACTCTTTTTAAATTTAACAAGTCATCATCATCATTTAATGTATTAGGAGTTTTTTTTTTTTTTTAAAATGCAAAAATTATTTTATTTATTGAGTACAAGGGGTACTCATGCCCATATACATTACTAGATTGTTTCAAAATAGTTTGTCCATCTAACACATTTACACATCAAACAACAGTCCCTTCCAAATACCATTTATAAACACAATTAGGGATTTTTTAGCCATTTGTGCAACAGCATATTGCTACCCTTCCTTCTATATTTTAGCCAATGGAATGATCAAACTTGAATAAGATCAAAGGTTCTACGAATGTTGATCACACCATTCTTGAATATTTTGTCATTTCTAACACCCCATATTGTCCATATTGTTGCAAACCAAACAATCTCCCAACTCGATTTTGATCTTTTGGATTGAATTAGGTTTTCATGCTAGAGAAAGGCTTCAAAACAAGTTTCTACTAGAATTGTTGATATCTCCCACCATCTATATCATTTGCTCCATAAATCCAAGGCAACTTTATAGTGTAGGAAGACGTGGTCTGCATCTTTCATATATTCATTATAGAGGTTGCATTTTGCATCTCATTTCTATCCTCAATGACTCCTCTCTTGAAAAAGTTTTCTATTTTTGGGACTTTATTCAGTATTACCTGCCATACGAGACCATGGACTTTTTGAGGGATTAAAGTGTTCCATACCCTGTTGAATGTTTGCTTATAAGGTGAGGGGCGGGTTCTTTCCAATATGTTATAACCTAATTTAGATGAATAAATGCCACTTGTGTTATGCTTCCAAAGCCATGTATCTACTTCCCCTTTTTGAACTTGTTCATTTCTCAATAAGGCTTCGAGCTTCTGCATGTCTTCCTCTTCCCAAGAGTAAAGAGGATGCCTCCAATTAAATTGCCATCTCCAAGTACCATTCTCTCATGATCCCATTTGATGTATTGAATTGTTTTTACCTATTGAAATAAGAAATAATTCGGGAAAAATATTAGCAATCTCTCCTATTTCCAACCATTTATCCCTCCAAGAGCTCACACTTCTTCTCTCACCAATTACATACTCAAAACCTTTTGCCAACCACCTCTTAATACTATCCTCTAATATATCAATTCTACATAGGACATAAATCCTTCCACCAATTGGACCCTTTTCCTCTACCTTCACTAACCTAATTCACCTAAATTATCATTGCCCCTACCATATTTTGCTTTAATTATTTTGATGGGAGTCATCTTGATTCCCATCATATTTCGTACCACATACATCCTTTACCCTTTGCCAATTTCCTCCACCATTTCCCCAATAAGGCTAAATTAAATAGTCTAAGGTTTTTTACACCCAAACCCCACTCAATTCTACTTCTACACACCCTTTGCCACTTAACCCAATTGACCTTCCTCTTTTCCTCACATGCACCCCATAAGAAGTTTAACGTGTTAGGAGTATTAGGTAAGTATGACATATTTTGTTGAAAAGCATCGTCATCTACTTGAAGTGTATCAGTATTTGGTACCTCCCTCAATGGCAAATTATAAGTCCTAGATTGACTTTCAATGCTATAAGCCAATTATGATTGAATCCATCTTTAACATAATAAACTTGTTCCACTTGAGAGGCAAGCACAAATGGCTCATCAGTTTTTAACTTACAAGTGGTATTAACACTAACAAAGCCATATTTATTTGTTTTCACTCCCTTTCCAAAGTTATCAACATCCCACCAAACATATTTGAACATGACTATTCGTTTTCTCTCCAAATATTGTAGTTCTATGATTTCATTAAGGACTTCATAATAATAATTATTTCTAAAATTAAAATTATATTTTAAAATTATTTTGGCCTTTTCTTTTTCTTTCATTTTTTTTTATGAAATCTAAATCCATTGACCATATATCCAATAATTGTTCTTCTTGGGGGGATCAAGTCATCCCATTCCTGCCAACATGTGGGAAGTGTTAGAACCACGAGGCTATTCTTATTTAAAATTGTTAAAACCATATCATGCGGTTTGTTTATGTATGGTCTCCTTGAAATCTAATCAACAGATAATGAAAATCCAGGCAGTGAGCCTCAACCGGAACAAAACCTTCCTGACAAAAGAGAGAACCTACTAACTGAGGTATCTCTAGGCCACTAGGCAAAATGTTTACAATATAGAGAGGATCAAGATTGCCAACTGTGTTTTCTAATAAGACTCCAACCTGCCAGTTGGTGAGAGAACTAAGAAGAGATCACAAAATTACAAATTTAAATATGTTACCACTATCAGAGAAGCAATTATGTCTCGAGTCAGCATAAGGTATCATTACCATTTCAGGTTTGTTTAGGCATTGCTTAATCTTCCCAAAGTTCTTCATCATGCTGCATACTCACAAATTCTACAGCCTGTGCACATTTATAACGCTTTTGTCACTACTATCATTTCACAAAATAGTCGGAAACGAATAAAAACCATGAACCAACAGCTGAAAATATGTGCACAACGCAGAAATACTTTGCAACTATACTTTGCAGGTCCAAAGTTTTAGACCAATACGCCTTACCAATATAGTAAGACTTTATTGGCGAGTGAGGTGGGTCTAATAGAGTTTTACCATGGAAAGAAACCGTAAATTTCCACGTTAAAATGATTAGAAATCCTATTTTTCTCCGATCACATAAGGCATCAAAAAGTGCAAGGATATTCATTACCCAACATCATATCATATATAGCCACGGTCATAAAAATAATAAAAAAATTCTGATGCATAAAGGTCCAACCATATGGACCCTTTTCTTCAGAATGAAGCCATTCAATCTATTCAAATGACTGAGAAAGTAGAAATGTGTCTAGTGGAGTGGAGTGGAGGGCACAATATATTGCCACAAAAACAAAATGATGCCTCTTGACATCAGCAGCAGTGCCAACCGCATCTTGAGATAATGAAGGCAGCATCGTTTCCCCGCAGAATCCATATATTTATATAATATATATATATATTTATATATGATAAGGTGGGTGCATTTCAGTTTTGACTTAAAAAAAAATCAGAGTCTCAATTTATATTTAGAAATTGAAGTTTTAATTCGAAATTAAAAAATTTAATTAGTTTCTAAATCTAAATATTTATATTTAATAAAATAAATTTTTAAAATTTAAATTGAATTTTAATTAAATAAAATGATATAATTTAAAATTAAAACTCTAATTTTTTTGAAAGACAGGACTAATATACACTATTTCCTTTATATATATATATTTTACATTCAAAATTCACGATAATTTCATTTTGGACATATATCACTTTAAAAAAATTTTTTGAATTGCTTATGAGATGTAATAATCTCTTTTCTTTTTACCATCAAATCCATATACTTAAGTTTGGAACTAAACATTTTGTTTTTTACTTATTTTATCTTAAAATAATTATTGTTTTTTTTTATCTTTTTTTAATTAAGAATTTGAAAATAATTTATATTAGCCTATATCATATTTAGAAAAAAAATTAAAATATAAAATAAAATTTTTTGTGATAGAATAATTAATTAAAATAAATAAATTATAATAAAATTAAAGTAAGAAAAAAATTTGTTTATCTTAAAAAAATAAAAATACAATAATTATTTTGAGACATAATACATATGCAATAATTATTAAACTGGTTAAATTATTGGCTCACATCTTTCGAGTATATATTCTATGATAATCGAATATTTGTTACTATTGAAGAGAAAAGAGGTGGGTATATAGAAATTACCAAAAGAAAGTGGATATAGAGATTGCATTTTAATATTTGACTAAAGGAATCTGCCATCTTTTCTTTTTGGTAAGCTAAATAATACTGCACCATTTTTTTATAATATGCTAGGACTGTAATGGGGAGTAGAGGTTTACCTTCAACACTAAACTAATTTTGTAGAATTTTCTAAAAGTCGTTTTAAGAGGTGGAGAAAACAGTCTTATAGCCTAAATAGAATGCATAAAAAAAGCAAGCCATTAGCAATGTGGCCACGTAGGTGATACTCTGAATTACATTGCTAAAAATGCCTTAGCATTGTGCGGTACGTCGGTAATGCCACTTGGTAAGACCTTCCTGGTGATGCTATCAGCAAGGAACCAAGAAAGCACGTCGGTCAAACTCAGTATATGACCAACGTGCATGAAATTGCTGATCTTAACTCACTGGGCCGGTCGTCGAATTTCTGCAGCATATATAGCATTGTATTTCTCGGAGATGATGGGTAAAAATGGTGATTAGAGGATGATGGAAGAAAAAGAGGAAGAAGGTTAAATTTGTAATTTTATTCTTGGTTTATACAGAAAAAATTTTATTTTATAGAATATGCACCCACCGGTGTTGAACCGGTGGGTGTATCCATCTTTATCCTAAATAATAACTCATTGTAAATTATCAACTACAAAATAGAAATTTATTTATGTTAGTTTTTTTTTTTAGAACAGCAAAGTATAATATTTATTAATAAATGGAGTATAAGGGGTACTCCAAACCCATAAACATCAAAACTTGACAGAAATTTATTTATGTTAGTAACTTAACTACCATAAAATTTAAATTAAATCAACATAAAGTAAAGAACTTATGGTTTACATGTTTTGGTTTTGGGCTTATACCATTCTTTCCAATATAATGTCAATTCCTACAAAAACAAACACAAAAGAAAAGGTAATTATTAGAGTACTTGAGAAATTTCAAAAAATAATACCCAATTCATTGCTTTAAAATTATTAATTAACAAACTAGTTAATTTTATGGGAGCATGAAGGAGGAGAAATGGAGAAGTGAGGAGAACGTTATTTTGAAACTTGGATAAAGGAGGAGAACGTTAATTTGATGGGAGGATAAAGGTTAAGAAAGGAAGAGATAGAGGAGGAGAAATGGAAGAGAAGTGGAGGAGAAATGGAAGAGAAGTGGAGGAGAAGGAATGATAATGAAGAGTGCTTTGCAATTTAATTTCAGTATAAATAGAGTCACTTGACATTGTATAACACGTTGCTCATAGATATTTTCAATTTTATTTTTGTGGAATATATTATCATCGACGTACATTACAATGCTATTTATTTAAATTGCTTGCTGAAAAAAATCAAAACTTCCTTCACATTCAACGACGTGTAATGCAATACTGAATTAATTAACTGCCACAATCACCAACATGTAATGCAATGCTGAATTAATTAATTGGTTTTCATTTGTCTGGATTAAACACAAGGTGCGGGGGTGTGTTTTTCATTTTATGATTGACAATCAAACCCAGTGGATTATGTGTTAGCTGTTCAAAGGAACAAATGTTGTTTGAAACGATTTCACAAACAGCATAAAGCATATGGATGAAAGCTTTGAAACATGGGTTCTTTAGCATGCATTTTTTGTTTAGTTTTATTTATGGTTACGCCACTGGTTTTGGTATGTAGATGTAGCTAGTATGTATAGTATATTTAATATGGGTAGAGTACCCATTGTACTCCATTTTTCATGATAAAGTTAATTTTGTTGATAAAAAAAAAAAATGGTTTTCATTTATAGTGGAAAATCCTTACACTTTCACCAATGTGGTCCACATTGCTGAATAACTACTTCACCGACGAGTGCCACATTGCTGAACTTTTAAGTAATTAATTCCCCCTAGATAAGTTATCGGTAGAATTGGTAAAAAAGTCTCATGCTTTCACTGACATGGATTACATTGCTAAATACCACCTTCACCAATAGGTGCTACATTGCTAAAATTAATAAATTTTTTTCTAACAGGAAAAAAAAATGAAAAATCTAACTGAGAGAACAAACACAGTTCAAAATCAACTAGAAAAGATTATAAAAATAAAGGGACTAAAAATGGATTTCTAAATCAATTCAAGATTTTACTTTACATAAAATTATCTATACATCTTTACGTAAAATAAAGTTAAGTGAATAAATTTTGAAAATCTTTTAATTTTCAATTTTTGAATGATTATAATTGTTTTAACTATGTATAGATTAACTACATTGATGAATATAAAATAAATGACTCAACTTTTGTCCCTTTTTTTCATATTAAAAAAATATTAGGGTTTTTTTTTTCATGCTTTCAACAACATGGTTCACATTGCTAAAGAATCCTTCACCGACAAGTCACACATTGTTGAAATTAAGTACTGCAGTTTTGGTATTTTGCCTATCACCGACGCCATCAGGAACATTCACCTTAATCCTGCACATCAATTGAAAAATATTAAGGTGACTTCCTTTTTTATTAGCACAAATTAATATAAATTAACATAATTAAAATATAGAAATGATATGCATATTGAATGATAGAGTATAAGTAATAAATAATAATTTTTTTAATAAAAGATATGGATATATTAGAAATGATGTATATTGAATGATAGAGTATAAATGACATTAATTTCAATATAAAGACAAAAGTAAGGTATTTATCAAGAAACAAAAGTTTAAAAAATAATGTATATTGGCGAAAATAATAATAACAATTTCTTATTATATAACAGTAAATGTTACATTAAGCAAAACACATTATGGTTCTTGAATAGAATTCATGAAGAAAATTCAATTGTTTAATTGCATTATCCCAATATTTTTCTCATATGTAAAATGCCATCGACCATTACATAAAATCTTTGTAACCTTCTTAGAGGACTTTGCAGGAATTTCTAATGGTTTTTGTATGAATTCAGATTTCCAATGATCTCGGTATATCTTCACAATGTGACCTTTTGAGATTACAAGTTATTGCATAGCGTTATGGACACACAGTTGCTATATGTCCTGCAGGATTATCACAAATTTGATAGATCCACCATTCTGCATTGTTAGCCATTGGAATTAGTTAGCCTTGTGCGACATGTTTCTGTGCTTTCCTAAGCTTCCTCCTTAGAGGACTGCAAGTTGGACTATTCCATGATGATTTGGGAGTATCATCAACAGTTCTTGTATAAAAGAAGTTAAATTATAGTACATGTAAGTAATACATCAATATATAAATTAACATAAAAGGGTATTATATGAGGAGAGAAACATCATAATACTTATACTATCATATTGACTATCAAAATATTCTTGGCTATTCATTTAGCAACTAAGTAAAAGTTGTTGATAGATTAGTGCAATATATATTAATAAATCAAGATAAAAAAAATTTAATAACTAATAAAAAAATTATTTGTGAATAAACAAACAAAAAATATCAAAATTTAATGGTAGAATATATAAATTGAGTTGAGAGAGCAAGTGACAAAGAGCAAATATCAAAAAGGAAATGTTATTTATATACATCTTTGGAAGGAATCACCAACATATCTTATAATTGCTAAATTTTTTCATTAAAAGGTATTTAGTCAACTATCAAAAACCATTAATCATCAATCAATTTTTTAAAAGCATTTTGAGGCATGTCGGTGTAGTTTAAACTCACTGACATGCCATACCAAGAGATTTTTTTTTTTTTTTGATAAGCAAAATGAATTTATTAATATTGGAGCACAAGGGGTACTCCTACCCATTACAAATAAGAAACATCTGCTAGCATGATAGAATGACAAAAATAAAAGCATCCACCACAAGCTGCAGAGCAATTAGCATCTCAAAAAGCCCTATACATATTTAGGGTAACGACTTCATCATGCATATAACAACTGTTCTTACTGTTGCCTCTCAATGAGGAGAAAAGCCACGTACCTCTCCATACTTTAAGCTGTACCCATTCCTTTCTACTGTTTATGGAATAATTTCTGCATTTGTTTATATTTTCTCACTAATAGAGCACATTCAACTGGTTTTACCTTCCATTCATGGAATGAAAAGACACACCCATGAATCTTATTCTTAATCCAGAAAAATGATTTGGCTTGGACCATCTCCATTAATCTTCCTCTAATGTTATTTCCATTGTTAAACACCTCATCATTTCTCCAATACCATAAATACCATGCAGCCACAAGGAAGATACAAGCACCCATCTCCTTCCCTATTTTCCTACCCAAATCGTTTACAAAAATGTCTGCCACACTTAGCACGTTATTAGGCATAACAGTCACCATGCCCCACCATTGTAGCACCTCTACCCAAAAAATCTATACTTCCTTACACATACTAAACAAGTGATTAACTTCCTCCACCTTGTCCTTACACAAAACACATTTTAATTCCTCTTCTTGCAAAGGTACCCCTCGCTTCCTAATATTCCACTTAGTTGAAAGCCTATCAAGGCATAATCTCCACCCAAAGAAAGACACTTTAGAGGGTACTAATTTACACCAAATTAACTTAATCCACTGCTCGCCTAGAACACGCTCTATTGGGGCTAAAAAATCATAAGCATTCTTCACCCTGTATCTACCCTCCGAATCATGTATCCACCTCCAACCATCTTCCACTCTTTTCTTTAATTGTAGCCTCTCCAATCCTTCCCTTAACTTCTCCTCCTCATCTTTTTCTCTCCCTATTCTCTCTCTCCACCATTCCATTTTCCAACGCCATTTGTCTCCTTCCCATACCCCCATATCACTAATCTTACACTCCTTGTTCGTAGACAATTCATACAATCTTGGATATACAACCCTTAAAGTTTTATTCCCTACGCATGGTTCACTCCAAAAGCTCACTCGATTCCCTTCCCCTACTTCCCACTTAAACCCCTCCACCAACATATTTCTAAGTTTCATGGATCTCCCCCCTATATTAATAATATCCCTCCATATTTTAGACATCCTCAAGTTCCCGATTGCTGTAATGTCCACGTCCTCCCACTTGCCCCCATAATATTTCTCCTTAACTATCCGTTTCCATAAGCTCTCTACACCATCCCCAAACCTAAACCACCACTTTCCTAAAAGAGCCCAATTTTTCCTACGTAAGTCTGACACCCCCAATCCCCCCTTTAGCTTACTACAGCATACATATTCCCATTTCACCCAAGAGATCTTTTTTTGTGACTCAACCCCTCCCCATAAAAAGGTTCTCTATATACTAATCAATTCAACAAGCACATAATTTGGAATTAAAAACAATGACATATAAAAAATAGGTAAAGCAAAAAGTACCGAGTTGAGCAGAGTGAGGCGGCCACCAAAGGATAGCGAAGCAGCTTTCCAGATAGCGAAGCAGCTTTCCAGACAGCGAGTTTGGCTCGGAATTTATTTATCAGTGGCTCCCATAACTTCTTTCTCCTAGGATTTCCATCAATGGCCATACCAAGAGATTACTAGGAAGCATTAGTGCTACTGGAGGAATTTAGCATTATGCAACATATTGGTGATAATTGAAATCATTGACGTATACCACCTTGCTAAATTCCTTGATTGCTAGAATAATTCAGCAAAAATCAATAAAGTTTAGCAACGTGTGCTACGTTGTTGATAGTGCTTTTAGCAACATACTTTGTGTTGCTAATTGTCAAGTGCTCAAAAGACATAAAATTGGCACTATTTAAACATCTTTATTAGGTAGGATCTGATGGAGAGAGAGAGTGCTAGGGTTCGAGACAGGTTTCCGACAGCCAGGGACAGCGGCAGTGGTTTCCGGCGGCGGCTTCCAGGATACGGTAAGCACTTCATTGGGCAGGCAACGACATACTTTTTCTATGATTTTCCGGTGAATTATTCTGCTAAGGATCTGTGGCATAGATTTTGGTCTTTCGGGAAGGTAGCAGATGTTTATATTCCAGAAAGGAGAGATCGGAGAGGGCGTCGGTTTGGATTTGTTCGGATGTCTGAGGTTTCAGATGCCGAGGGTATGGAAAGAAAGTTGAATCAGATTTGGCTGGGTTCGTATCGCTTGAAGGTGAAATTGGCAGGAAACATGAAGTCTGGGAGGGAAGGGATGTCCAGAGGACGGCAGCAACAGCAAACAACAGCGAAGTGGTTCAGACGAGATCGAAAGGTGTCTCCTGGGTTAACATATGCACAGATTGTTGCTGGAAAACTCAAGGCATCTGATGAAGGGGAGTCACTGCACCATGTAGAAGAACAGGTAGCGGTGCAAAGAGTACTGGAAAAGAAAGAGGCTGGGTTTGAAAAACCTGGTGCAATGTTGAAAGAATTGGCAGTGATACCAGTGTCAATCCCTGATCAGGCTTCAACGTCAATAGCGAATGATGTCAGTGCAAATACTTATGTGCCGAAGGAGTCGAAGGCTAAGTTGGTTCTGCAGTTTTCTCCCAGGGAGGATGAAGTGGCATGGTTGAAGCAAAGTAGAGTGGCACTGGTTCGGTCGCTGGAGTTGGTGACGAAAATACAAAATAGGCTGGATGTGGATGGCTTATTGGTGAATGTTGCTCTGCTAGGGGGTAGACATGTTCTGTTAATAGATAATATGGAGGGTTGTCTAGAGGAGTTTATTGATAAAAATAACGAGTTGGTGGAGTCTTGGTTCGAATGGATACAGCCAACTTCGTTATTTACTAAGCCATCGAGAAACAGGTTGGTGTGGCTTCGTTTTAATGGTGTTCCATTGCGAGCATGGAGTGAGAGATGTTTCTGGGAACTAGCAGCTTTAATGGGTGAAGTAATACTAGTTGATGATGATACAAAATCTAAATCATTTTTGTGTGAAGGTCGGGTCTTGGTATTGTGCGATGATGACAGGAAAATTGCGCAGACAATCACGTTAATGGTGGATGGGGAGTCTTTTCTGATCAAGGTATCAGAGGAGGAGTGGCGTATGGATCCGGACTGGTGGCTGGCCGGTGAACGGCGGAGCTCCGGTACGAGGTTGGATGTGTCCGACATGGAGTCTGATAATTCCGATGACCGTTACAGTGAAGGTGGGGAGAGAGCAGTTATGGCCGAAGATGGTGCAGAAACGGACGTAGAATCAAATCTGAGTTTAAAACAGAATTTGGTTCAAAATTTTGAATTAAATGGGCTGGAGATGGATGGGCTGGGTAATGTGGGCTCGGTTGGGCCAAGGGATTGTGAGGCTGAGGAGCTGGGTGTAGAAAATGGGTCTTGTGAGGGGATTAGGCCTGATGGAGTGCAACAGACAGGAGCTGCTTTGTCGGCTAAAAAATGCAAGAAATTAGGGGACATTTATGCGGGGGTTGGGGTTGCGGAGGAAACGAGGGAGATGGGGCTGCAGTGGGTGACGGGAAGAACCAAATGTAGGAAGGAAAGAAGGGAAATAGCAAGACAATCGGAGCAGGGGACGGAATCATGGAAAGCTGGTTTATCTTTGTCGGATGGCTGCATCCAAAATCGGAACAATCTTATCCGGCAGCAACTGGAGTTGGACGAGGTACGAAGGCTGTTTGGGTTGGGGAAAAGATTGGGGATCCAATGTCAGAATAATGAGGAGGAGGTGATTTCAAGATTGGCGGCTTTGGAAGGACGAGATGAAGCTAATTTTAGAAGGACCTGAAGTTCGGGTGTGGAGTTTTGCTGAAATCAGTGAGTTGAATTTTTATCATTATGAAGTTTATTTCTTTTAATGTTAGGGGATTGGGTAGTGGGTTGAAAAGGAGGGAGATTCTTAAGTTAGTTAAGAAGGAGAATCCAGATTTTTTGTTGCTTCAAGAAACTAAATTGGAAGAGGTTGAGGAGTCTTTGTGTCGGGCATTGTGGAACTCAGAAAATTTTGATTGGGTTATGCAAAAATCAATGGGTAACTCAGGGGGCTTGTTGTGCATTTGGAATAAAAGCTGTTTTAGTAAACAATGTGTGATAGAGGGGAGCGGCTTCATTGGGGTTTCGGGCGAATGGGGTAAGGAGAGGAAAAAATGTAATGTAATTAATGTGTACGCTCCTTGTGATAGGCAGAGGAAGGTTTTGTTGTGGGAGGAAATTGCTGGACGAGTTTTAGAAGAGGGTGGTTGTTGGCTGTTAGCAGGTGACTTTAACGCTGTCCGGAATGTATCAGAACGAAAGGGTAAAATGAAGGAGACGCAGGATATGCAAGATTTTAATCACTTTGTGGAAAGCACGGGATTAATTGACGTTTGCTTGCGAAATAGAAAGTTTACCTGGTATAGACCGGATGGATCCTCCATGAGTAGAATTGATAGATTTTTGATGTCTACAGAAATGAGTTTAATGGCCACGGATTGGGTTCAAGAAGGTGTGGCAAGGTCAGTTTCTGATCATTGTGCAATAATTCTGAAGGCAAGGAATGCAGATTGGGGTCCAAAGCCTTTTCGGGTAATGGACGCATGGCAACAACACCCAGATTTCAGAAATTTTGTAGATGATAAGTGGACAGCTTTGCAAGTTGAAGGATGGGCGGCTTATAAATGCAAGCAGAAGCTGAAGTTAATGAAGGATGAATGTAAAAGGTGGAATAAGGAAGTTTTCGGTAATGTGGAGACTCGATGGGGGATATTATCAAAGGAAATTGAAGCACTGGATATAAAAAGTGAAGAGATTGAATTAGATGAGAATGAGGTGTTATTCCGAAAGGAGTGTTTTCAGGAGATGTGGGACATTTCGAGGAAAAGAGAGGCTATGTGGAAGCAGAAGGCTAGAAACAATTGGATTCGTCTTGGAGATGCAAATACCGCTTTTTTCCATAGGAGCGTTCAGGCACGGAGGGCACAAAATGCAATTTCAGGGATCTTAGGAGAGGATGGGTGGGTCGAGGAGCCAACTAGGGTGAAAGAGGAGGCAGTGAGGTATTTTAGTCAGTTGTTTCAGAATGAACAGTGGAAACGGCCAGTGTTGGGAGGAGTTCATTTCAACAGAATTTCAGTTGCACAAAGAGAGTGGCTGGAAAGACCTTTTTCAGTAGAGGAGATTGAAGAGGGATTACAAAGCTGTGATGGGGCGAAGGCGCCAGGACCAGATGGGTACAATTTCAATTTTATAAAATTTGCATGGAGCACTTTAAAAGAGGATTTTGTGAAGTTTTTGTTGGAATTTCACCAACATGGGAGGTTAGTAAAAGGTTTAAATTCCTCTTTTTTGGCTTTAATTCCTAAAAAGGTAAATCCA